ACGTCGTGCAACGTCAGAATATTCATTACTCCGCGTACAAAAGCGTGCCGTACGTTCGGCCCGACTTTGAATACTTTATTTCTTTTCTTTCATTCGCGTCCCTTTTATATTTCACCTTTTGCAGTAATTTTTCATATTGAAACAAAAGAGTTCTTAAATAACGGCTCAAGAGGTGGAATGTCCGTGAAATTGAAGCGGCAACAACGACGACCCCGACCCACGAGCGTAATTTTAATACTATCCGTTAGACAGACGCGGCGCCGGCGCCGGCCGCACTGCGGTGTTTTCGTTTCATTACAGCTCCAACGTTGCCGATCGGCGTCACTCGTTTCACGAATGCTTGTTTAACCCTAGCCTTCAAGGGTCATCATTATCATGCTCACACAATCGCAATACAGCATCGACAGTAACCCATCAGACGATATGAATAGTGATGCTTACAATAACAAATTTCTCTAATCGTAAAATTCATAAAATGTACATGACGACTGAGCACGGCCCCACTTGTTGAATTGTAAGCGAGCACAATTAGCGCAAATAACGATTGAACATTCGTAGTAACTATTAGGTCCTACCTTCGACCGCGTGATGTCGTAGATATATTGACTATTGTCACAGCAGAAAGCGTTAATGTACTCATCCTGATTATCCTTCTTTTTATGATAAGAAGTGGTGAGACGAACAAGTCGTGCGCCTGGTCGCAAGCGACACCCCTGTGCGTAGCAGTTGCAGGGCCACTCGGAGCTTTGAATCGCAAACATTTGAGGGACACTGCCACTGCGTCCGCTACCCTGAGACATAAGTGCCAGCAATTTCACCAGCTAAACCGGAACAGCAAAACCCTTCAAAACCGGAACACAGTAATGCTCACATTCCTGTCTGGCGGCAAAATTAGATAAGGTGTCAGTACTTGCCTGGACAAACTCTGTCATAATATTAAGCAAGTTGCTTCCGAACGAATCCGTCGAGTCGTTACTGCCTCGTATTTACAACATCAAAATCTTCAACTTGTAATGCAAAGTCATTACTGTTACATACAGTTTGCTAAGAATGTTCAAAATAATGTGGTAATTATTATTCCTGACGGTTCGAATGAACTTTTTAATAAAAGTAAATTTGTTGACGTCATTCCTTAACACTAATGATATTGTTAAAAGCTGAAATTAATATAGCGTTCCTCCAGATTACCACTAAAAGATGAGGCGCGCGATGAGATACAAGCAATGAATCGGTGGGCTACCTTAGAGAATTTCTCCTGCGCGTCGAGAATTTCGATGAAAAGGGACAGCTTGTGGTCCATGATGGGAAAGCCATTGCGCGGCTGCTGCAGCAGGTGGCGTACAGCGTCGCGCACGGCGGCCGGCGTGCTGGGCGAGCCCACTAGCGGCAGCGCCAAGGACAACGCGCTCGTCGGGTGCAACCCACCACCGCTGCCGCCATATCCGCACACACCCACACCCATCGGGCCGACAGCACCCATCGGCCATAAGGCGCCTAATGGCCCAACTGCGCCTCCTGGTCCCGCCAACGATGACAGCCCGTGGTAAGTAGCGGAGGGCTTGGGCGCGCACTGCACTGGCCCGCCAGGCAACGACAGCCGGCGCGACGTGCTCGGCGGCACTGCACCGTATCCGTTGGTCATGATCGCTGGCCTTTGCAGTTGGTAATCGCTCCGTGACGGAGGGAGACCGTAACCGGCTCGTGGCAAAGTAGATAAAGTGTTGGGTACTGGACGGCGCGGCACTGGCACGACCAGTGGTGCTCGCGGCCAATCGTCTTCGGCGCCCAAAGAGAGCGGTCTACGAACCAGTTGCGCTGGCACGGGCCGCGGTGCGACCACACTCTGTGGCCTTCTTGGCACATGTCGTTCCACCTGGATCGGCGTCGGCGGCGTGTATGGCGAAAACCCGCCAAAATCATCAGGAATTGAATGCGATGTCGGCTTAGGATTGGGTTCCGGGGCCGGTGGCGGCGGATCATCCCTTCGCGACCAGTTGAGAGCCAAAGAATTTGGTTTGCACGGCGGCGCGGGCCGCGGCCGAGCTGCCCCCTCGGCCATGACGAACTCGGCGGGCAGCACTTCACATGAGACGTCCGTCGCGCTCAGCGGGCGGCGGTCGACTGGCCCCGCTACGCTGCATCCCGCCCGCCCGCCGAATCTCCCGTTTGTTTCCCATCGCGTCGCTGCTTCCGTATTCCGCGGCCGAAACTTTACAAACTTTGCAAGTTGTGGCTGTATAAATAAATCCACACTTGTGGTCTTTACGCAATTCGCCATAGCCGCGTCGTCTCGTCTGTATTCGAACACATTAAAGTTACTAGATCATTTGTAACGAATATGTGCGTTATAGCATTACCTTAACAGTTTTTCCACATGTAGTTCCCCTCATCATTTATTCCTTGATAAATCACTACTTAGTCCACGGCCATACATATCGTTCGTTTGCGTTAGTGCTACGAAATTAGCTACGCGGAAAACCGCTACGGAAGTAGTGTCGCGTAGGCGCGTTGCATCGGCGCTACGCGTAGAAAATGTGTTGAATTCATTGCACACATCACAAACTCCATGACACGGTCGTGTGAGGTTAGTTATAAAAAGTGTTCATGGCGTCATCATCACAAATAATAAAGTATTAAATACTGTATTTCGGATAAACGGCAAAATTTAAAATGCATCTTGCTCGTAAAGTTGGTGCACTTGGTACCATTTTAAAACGGTAAGCCCGGTGGGGCCACGCTAGTTGATCTATATCCAGTAGTCGTAAATCAACGTCCAAATGAAAGCTCCAATATCAAGTGCACAATATGCATCGACACTCTCCTATTTATAGAAACACTTGTTTTGTCTCCGCGCCTCAAGTGCAGGTTACAGCTGTCCGGAACAACGTGCACACAAAATATTAGTATATTTATATTTGTACCTTACCGGTAGGTGGTACCTCTTAGCGGACATCCGTTGGTGGCTATGTACCCGTAAAGCGAAAATACGTATTTCGTCAAAATACGTATGGAACATTAAGAAAAGAGTTCAAAGGAATCCTTTATAATCCATCCATAAACAAAGGACGGACAGAGGGCCAGCGCGCTTGGGGATCAAAGGCGAAGCGAACGAGAACGGCTCGTATTTTGTAATTCCTGATCACGTTATTAGAAATACACGAGACTCGATTTCACGTAATACCCCTGCAGAGGACCGCGGGCGATACTATACTTCCTCCGAACGAGTACTCAAGTTCCAAGGTAGCACCGCACCGCGTTCTGCGGGCGCGTGCCGGTTACTTTTTTGGGTATAGAAAACACTTTGTTGTCATATATATATATAAATAATCGTTATACATTTAAATAAATCTCTACATATATATAGAGTTTTATTTAAATGTATCCATACATATAACGATTATATTTTAATACTACTCATCTTGCAGTTTTGTTACAGACAATGTTTATACTTTTTGAATAAAAATACTTCCACTATACCACTTGGACGCACCACTGCGCTACGCTCGACAGTCGGGCGATTTAAAGTAAAAAAAAGTAGACTACATTTAGCCCGTACAATTCCGGTGAGTGCGGCAAATTGGGGCCGTAACAAGCGGTCCTTGTTATTATCGAGGATTCTTTCTTTAAATCCAGTCATGGGGAAAAATTATGCCTTCGCACCAAAATCACAAAACTAATAGATCGCGCGAAACCAACGAAAGATTTTTTGTTGGAATGCTATTTTAAGTACGATGGCGGCGACCAGACGCTATAGACGTTGGGGTAGGACGACGAAGGAAATAATGCAGCCAGCGGCAGGCGCGTCGGCTGCCGCTGATGCTTTTGTAGTAGCAGTGGAGCTCCTTGTGAAATAACGCGTCGCGCTCATGCTATAACGCTTATGTCTCAGGGTGACGGGTTCGGTGGCGGTGCCCCTAATTAAAAGCTCTGAGCAGCACTGCAAATTATATGGACAGGCGCGTCGCTTACCAGCAGGCGCACGTCCTGTTCGTCCCGCCACTTGGTATTATAAAAAAAAAGTTATTTTGGAGTGGCGATGGCGACCCGCAGTTCAGGTCGCGTCATGCTTGAATCGCGCGTCACGATCAAAATCGTGAAATCGTGGCACCACAGATGTAAAACCACCGCTATTCGCTTCTTATTATTTAATATAATAAATAACATAAATAAATAAGTAGTCAAAGCACTTGTGTTATGGATATCGGAAACAACCGCTGGGTGTGGCACCTCGAGACAATATACAAAGGTTAGTTTTAGTGTTAGTAGATCGATCCCGGGACCTCGGAGATGGCTACACCACGAACACCAGTGTGCAAGCAATTTATTTACAGTGTAGTTTAGGCGGAAGAAGTACATACTCAAAGTAATAAATTCTCGCACCTATTTATTTGCACCGTTATTATCACGACTGTGTGCAAAGTGAGCGTCCAATCTCTGACACAAAAGACATCCTCACAAATGAAAGTACCCGTATATTAACATTAGCAAAGCAGGAAGTTTTAAAAAAGTGTGGTCCAGACTTGGCTCCATAAATGGAAAAATTTAATAAAGTTAGCGGTAGCGGAAGGAACCTGAGGGTATCCCTCGTATCAATATACGAGTACATGCGACAATATGTATTGTGTGCTTACAGTACTACAGCCAAATTTTGGAATACCCTCTGCGGGAAACATTTAGTATTAACATGAATGTGATAGTCAACGGGGCCCTTAGTTGCGGCTACCACCTAACAGATGGCGCTGTATGACAACGATCGCGCGAGTCCTAAACCCTGGTTTTGCTGCAGCGCCATCGTTGCTCTTTTAGTTGAGCAACAAATTCGTACAGTTCTAAACGTCGCTTTATCGTAGATGGCGTTGCACAACTAAATTGCCAGCTGTAGTAATACAAAACTAAATTGACTTGTGATAAAGAGGTTCCAAATTTAACTGTTTTTTTATATTCCAGTGGACATGTTTTTTATACAAACGTTTTCTTCGGATGTGACGGATAGAACTTACCTTGAGCAGATGCGGGTCGCGCTCGGCGGCGTCGAGCAGCGACTCGGCCTCGCTCAGCCACGCCACAAATTTCTCTAGTGAGCGGTCGAAGTTCTGCAGCGACGACACCGCAGAATGCAGCGCCTTGCCTCGCCCGATGATGCTGCCACACACAAACAAGAACGTTAGTTTTAGTACACGAAAGCAATACATTTGAGTGAAGACGGTAAGACTGCTATCATTTGCAACTTGGTCTGTTTTGCAAAGCGATATTAGCGCCATCTCATCAAACGGCCGTTTGGAAGGTTATGAGAATAAATAGAGCGCCGTTTCCAAGCGGATTGCGGAATCTTAAATATATACTACTACTTCATACGAACGGTACGGTTCGTCTCGGGATTGCGTCACGTAGTTGCAGCACGTTACCCGCGGTATTACTTAGGCCAAGGAGACACAGATGGCGCTGACAGCTATTGAATACCCGTGTACTCTGGCGAAGCGAATAGCGAGCCTTACAGGCGCCGCCAGGCGGATGATATGTATTATTCGTTTTCGCGACTACAAAATATGTCCAATTGACCGTGCCCTTGTGTTTGGAACCAAATTGTTAATTCGAATCTAATATTATTTGTAGGTTTCCGTTGTAATTCTTTTTCGTGATAATGTTTACATTGACACGAAATATGTGTGAAAACGAATATATTAACGGTTCAATGTAAATAAAGAAAAAAGGAAAATAAAAAATCGAGAAAATAAAAAACCTCATCGAGTGTCGTTGTACAGATTGTTCAAAACGCTTCAACACGTGACACGGGAACAATTTGCGTCAAACGCTGCAGTTACGACACTCAACAAAGTAGCTTTTAACGTTTACTTGTCCAGGCAGTTACAAGGCCCAATTTGTTACCTGTTGTTGAGCTCGTCGTATCGGTGATTGATGTTTTCAGTGGCACGCTTGATGCGCGAGGTGTCGTCGTTGCGGTATACGGCGATCAGTCGCTGCGTCAACTGCCCGAACAGCTCGATTTGATGCTTGTACTGGTGCACCTCCGCGTGGAAAGACTGCGCATTCATACATAAGACATGTGAGTGACATTGCTTGTACCTCCTAGAGTAGTAGAATTTGTGATCGAGTGCTAATAATTCTTCACCTCTGATTTGGGCCTGCGGTTATATTAATTCGGTTCCTACAGAATGGGACATGATCGCGTCTGTGCGATCCAGTGCAAATATTTCCTTCCGTTGGATGGTTCTGTTAATGTATTTAGGCGGATTTTTACGTCTGGTGGCTCTGGTTAAATGTTTGCGCATCAGTTCCGACAAAATTGGCCAGTGCGAGCCAGTGCGAGCCGCCCAGCCGCCCAGTCGCCCCATGGATGTTCTTCGTCAGTGACGCATGCTCTAGTTTTGTATAATGGTTGTTTCGTTACAGCCCCGGCCTGTATCATGTAGCTCCCCCCGTTACAAAAATACACAGCGCCGTACTGTTGCTGGTTTCCAGAAACGAAAGTGGCATCAAAAAGAAGACTAGTTTAATGTACCGACTCCTCCTTGCCACACTAAGCATACAAACATATGTATAAATAAGATTTTCAAGCGTAAAAACGCACAAGCCCGCTTTAAAGGAACGCTCGGTAAGGGCGACAGTCAAGTGAGGGTACCTTCTGTTCCCTCAGCTGCATCTCGAGCACGTCGGCGGTGTGTCCGGGCGGCGGCATGCTGGCGAGACGCGCCTCCATGCGCGTGAGCCACGCGTCGGCGTCGCGCCGTCGGGCCTCGTAGCGCTGCGAGTCGCCTAGCATGGCGTCCAGCTGCGCCTTGCGCTGCAGCACGCGCGCGTTCGCTTCATCCCAATGCTCGCGCAACGCCGTCACTGCAACACGCAACCGACATCAGCCCCGAGCACGCTCGCGACAACACTAATGAAATCATTAACACGCTGAAGCAGAAAGAAGCCCTTGCGGCACGTCGCGTTATAGCATTCTTCCGCGGAAGGCAACAACAGCCACTTCGAGGAAAAGAGCCGCAAGGCCTAGTACCTTATAGAAAATACAAAACAAATATTTTCATAAGCCCTGACGCCGCCTCCACCTCCGCGGCTCAAAAATAAGTCATGTTATATTAATGTTCCAATTGCGATCACTCGAGGGCGGAGGGATCACGCGCTCCGCGGCGACGACGCCGCCGTCGGGTTAGATCAACACCAACGGTGCTTGTTGAACAATCGCACTAGCGCCGAGCACGGACACCAATATACATACATTCACGTTTTACACGCTTTTCAAACAAGCTAGGCTCTACTTATGTGGATTTCTGTTCATTCGCGTTTTATTGTTTCACCCAGCAATCCTCGCCTGGAATGATGCCACGTGTCTGAGGTCGTGGTACAACGCTGCAATCCTGCGATTCTATTCTGAGTAAGTATATATGTCCCTAATATAGATTGAGTTTATACATTGGAAAACTATGATTATGGAAGAGCGGAGTCTCCTATCACAGGCATTGCTATGCTTAAAAGGAGACTCCTGATACTATAATTGTAAAATGCAAACAGTTAAAGAACTAAACTATTGTCACATGGATGTGAGTGCGAGTCAACAACGTTACGAGCTAGATACCTGATTCATTAAATATGAGCGGCGGCAGCGTTTCACGGCAGAAGCGGAGTTACAATTTTAGGGAAAATAAACCTGAACGGATTTATATTTAATATTCGACGGTGAACAGCCCGCGGACAGCACCCCGCATCCCGCTCGGTATCCCGGTATATTATTCAAGAGAACGACGGGGGGGCGTTGCGTAAGATTTTATATGGAAAAATCCATGTCGCTACATTACTGGTACAAATATAACAGCAGTTAAGTATTAAATGGCGCTCGACGTGACGTAAAACTGTTTTTCTACCGATTACAAGCTACTGTCGAATTTATACAATCAATGATGGCGCCAATGCATTTTAACAGATAGGTACAGTTCGCGTATTACGAAGGTATGGACGCCCATGTTAATAGTTTTGATCGCAGATTCCACCGCAGAGCATAGTCGGGAAGTACGAACGTCAGTTTATTGACCAATTACTGATAACATATGTGCTTTCATTCCGACAATTACAAATACACTAAGCTCCTTAGCTGTACCTATACCTCGACTTCGTGCTTAGAGCCTATCTGGTAGCAGACTTATTTGCGAATAATGCAGGCTGCAGTGCAATAACTATTACGTACGAATACAATAAATAAAGTTAAATAAAAGACGTAATCCCCTGGAACAGGGGGCCGCATATAAGTAACTAACTGACGGTGACGAACCGTGGCAGCTTTACTCGACATTAGAAAGTTCTCAATCACGACAAAGTTCATTCTAAATATTTCCTATGGACGTGCTGTCGATACCTCCACGTTCCTGTCGATATCTTCTATTCGATTGCAAGTCATTTAACATTATGCGTCAAGTACTAGAAAGTCCCTTGAGACTGCGGAATGTAATAACTTAAAAATCCTACTGAAGTAGGAAAGCAAAGTAAGCAAATGCGTAGTTATTTTGAAGTTGCTCTTGTATACATGCGCTTTCAAAAACAATCAGATTCGAAATGATAAAGAAAAATTATATTCGTGGAACGTAGTATAGAACCCGGAAATTTCTCTGGTAGTAGGAAAGAGCTAACTATTCATCTGCTCAGTGCAACAAATTCGTGAACAAAAAGTCTTGTACAACCGCTCTTACATAAAGGGCTTTATGGAGGGCACGGGAGTGTGTAGTGTTGTACACCGTACAGATAGATAAGCACCGAAATTCGTCACATATATACCCAGCGGGCGCCCGCGCCGCCACCGGTCGCAGCGGCCGCAGAGCCACTCCAATCTTTCTTAACGAGCCCAATCGTTCCGGCGGCTTTCAGACTTGCACCACAATGTAAACGGCGCGTCGTATATGTATGTCAAGTGACAAATTCAAAACCGAACTCTATATATTTACGTACAGCTTCGCCTCGGCTTCGGTGATTTAGGCCACAGCTCGGCAACTTCCTTAATTCCTCGTTTGTGTGACCGCGACGCCGCTCGTTACTAATAATCGTCCTGGAGTTGACGAGGAGCATATTTCATTTAATTAGCGGGAGTATTGAGACTTCAAGGCCCAAAGAAATTGCCTAGGATTGTACAGTCTCCATTTTGGACCTTGGAATATTGGGCCGTGGTCGGAGCCTGACCTAATTCATTAATCTATTGTAAAAATTAATCAGAAAACTAAAATCAACATTGTTCGATATAATGGATTGGAGCTCCTTTTTCAAATAAGGTCAGCCAAATGGGTGCAGCGATGTGTCGGCGTACCTTTGGCTAGTTGCCGAGTGGCTTCTAAATATGTAGTCTTCGTTAATAACGCACAAAGGCCTCAAGCGATTTTCTGCGAAACGTAGTACCGAAATGACAACGAACAAAAAGCATTTTCTAAACGAAATTATATTTTGTATTCGCTTCCATTTCGCAGAGTAAAAACAGGGTCATTGGGCGAGATCAAAGGAAAGGAGGGACGTGGCGAGGGATGTCTTCCCTAATTAACAAAACTGATAACAATCATTAGCGGAGCCTTCGAAAACGCTCGTTTGAGGCCATTAGACGATTGTGGTTCGACGATGCACACTTGCATTGTCACGGGGCGTTTTGGTATATTTACAAGTTCTTTTTTATTTTGTTGACCAACGCGCAAGTCAGAACGTGCTCAATTCGAGTAATTATGTTTTACCTGAACATCCTGAAAACCTATCTCAGGGTACTGTTTGCGAATCAATGAGGCTTAAGTTCAGGGTAGTGGCCAAAGAGGCAAAGTAATTAGTTTAGCCGGAGAGAAGGCGGGGGTGAGCGGGGATGACGGAGAAGAGGCGGTGTTTTTGCGTCACCGTAGTAACTGTAATGTCGTGGGGTGCTTGGTCATCGTAATCATCCAGAGCTGTCGGCAATCCGCCAGATTATCTTTCCCAGCTCCTGTACTACCGTAGGTACCAACCATCCGTGATTGTAGTTAACACATTTTCGATCATTTTTTTAACACACAGTCGGAAAAGGAAATGCCACTCAATGTACGTCACGTACTGTTACTTTTTAAAGGAACAAACGGCGCCAGAGCCAGAGGTCCGTCGTGTTTTCGATCTGATTACATGTGAAAACGCCCAACGCTTCATAGTGTTAATAGATCAATGTCAGGAAGGCGGCCAAATTTATAAAAAAGTCTTTTATCTTTATGCATGAAGCTAGTATTGTTACTTGCGCTGTTACTTTGCGGATGTCACGTGCCCCCGAAGAATTTATTGTTTTCAGTGAAATTAAAATTATTTTGAGAAATAATTGAAAATTCCTAAGGACCCATTAAGGTCGTCTCATCTCATCGAGGATTAAAAGTTGTATGACAAAAGTTCAATTCTCTTCTGGTGCGTTTTCGGTGGATTGACGAGGATGTGTGAGACGAGAATTGATATATTCATCCACTGAATCGGCCCTACACGCCGTTGTGGGCAAGATAGAAGTGGCCCTTAAAGACAAAGCAATCTGCCTAGGCACCTTTATAGATATTGAAGGAGCCTTCGATAAAACGAACTTCTCCAGCATACAATCAGCAATGAGAAGACACAACGTAGATGAAGTGCTAATTAGCTGGATTAGCAACATGCTGAAACAAAGAACAATAAAAACAACAGCAAATGAGACCCCATGGGCAATAGTAGCGAAGGGGTGCCCTCAAGGAGGGGTATTGTCGCCTCTGCTGTGGAACATGGTCGTAAATGACCTTATCATTAAACTCAACAAAGAACATTTCTATACAATAGGATATGCTGATGACATAGCTATACTGGTAACAGGAAACTATGCCAATACACTCTGCGACATTACACAAGCGGCTCTCCGAATTGTGGAAAGATGGTGCAGAGCATATGAACTATCGGTAAATCCAACAAAGACGGAACTAGTAATGTTTACCAACAAACGACTACTAGGTAACTACCGATTACCCAAACTCTTCAGCACAGAACTACAGATATCAACCGAAGTCAAGTACTTGGGAGTAATACTGGACAACAAGTTGAACTGGAACAAACATATGGACAACAAAATTAAAAAAGCCACTATCACCTTCTGGCAGTGCCATGGAATGGTGGGTAAACAATGGGGACTTTCACCCAAGATTACACTATGGCTCTACACTGCGGTGATAAGACCCATGATCAGTTACGGCGCGATAGTATGGTGGCCACGAACCAAGCTGACGACCGCAACCGACAAACTGGACAAATTCCAAAGACTAGCGTGCATGGCGACGACGGGCTGCATGAGGACAACTCCAACTGCGGCCCTCGAAGCGATGCTGGACCTTCGACCCCTCCCACTGTTCATCAGACAGGAAGCGGCGTCAACAGCAGTGCGTCTAAACAGAGCCGGCCTCTGGAAGCACATGAGAACCCCACATACAGAAATCCTCTACAAGTCTGTCAATGAGGAACCGCTACTGGAGGCGGTTGTGGATAGGATCCCAAAACAATACATCTTTGACAAGAAATATAAGATACAATTATTTGAAGATCCCAACGAAGGACTGAACCCCAGAGAGGTCCGAGTCTTCACCGACGGATCTAAAACAAACTCAGGAACAGGTACTGGGGTATTCTCAGAAGACCTCAATATCAGGATATCAGCACCGCTTGGTGACCACAACACAGTGTTCCAGGCTGAATGCATGGGCATCAAGTTGGCAGCAGAAGCAATCATAGCGAGAAGAGTAAAGAATTACTCCATTCGAATACTCTCCGACAGTATGTCAGTACTTCAAGCACTGAATAGCTATGACATAAACTCAGGGCTCATTTACGAATGCCATCAAGCA